TATCTAAGTTGAGTGTATGTTGTGTTCCTTTTAAACTTCTGGGTGGTAGGTTAGGAGTCCACAATACAAAAAGCTAGTGGGGGGGGAACAGAAAGGAGGGCAACAATTAAATTTTTTATTATCTCAGCTTTGAAATGTATGTTCCTTTGTATTGTTTGCATTGTTTTTAATTGTTGTTGTATCTGGTTGTTTTATAATACTTTTGTCTATTTGTAAGCTACAGGATCATATACAGGTAGTCCTCGACTTACAACAGTTCACTGAGTGATCATTCAAAGTTACAACAGCATGGAAAAAAATTGACCATTTTTCACACTTACAATCGTTGCAGCATTCCCATGGTCATGTGATCAAACTTCAGAATGCCTGGCAACTGAGTTCATATTTATGACAGTTGCAGTGTCCCTGGGTCATGTGACCACCTTTCTTATAACTTCTGGAAAGCAAAGTCAATGGGGAAGCCAGATTCACTTAACAGCGGCATTACTGATTTAACAACGGCAGTGATTCACTGAACAACTGTGACAAGGAAGGCTGTAAAATGGGGCAAAATTTAACAACTGTCTCATTTAGCAACAGAATGTCTTATTTAGAACAAGGGTGTCAAACTCAAGATCCGCGCGGCTGCCCTTGAAACCGCAAAGGACTGGCCCGCAGTAATTAATTTCGTAATTCGTAATTTAATAAACTTATATGCCACCCAATCCCGTAGGACTCTGGGCGGCTTACAAATACGAGGATAAAACAAAAAATGAAAAAAATAGGGAAAAGACAAGAACAGGTTTAAAAGGAACACAACATACACTCAACTTAGATAGGGGCTGCACCTTATACATGGGTCAACAGCCCCAGGCCTGCCGGAACAGCCAGGTTTTGGTGGCTTTTTGGAAGGCTGAGAGAATAGGAAGGGTCCGGATCTCTGTGGGTAGATTGTTCCACAGGGCCGGAGCAGCTACAGAGAAGGCCCTCCCCCAAGGAACCTTCCCCCGAGGGGCCGCCAGCCGGCATTGTCTGGTCGATGGCACCCACAGTGCTTCTGCCAGCAAAAACGGAGCTCAGGAGGGCCACATGCAGTCCTCCAAGGCCACATTTTCAGCTGCGACGGCCTCCTGCAGTCCTCTGCCAGTGAAAATGGACCTCTGTTTTCACTGGCAGAGGACTGGAGGGGACCACTGTGGCTGAACATCGGTCCACCTGAGCTCCATTTTCACTGGCGGAGGGCTGCAGACCTGTTACAGTCAAAAATGGAGCTCAGGAGGCCGTTTTCGCTGGCAGATCCCTTGGGCCGCCACAGACGCCCCTAACCCAAGGGACATCAAGCTGGCCACACCGACACTTGCCAGGCTGAGATCAAATACAACCCTGATGCAGCCTTCAATGAAACCGAGCTTGACACCCCTGAGTTAGAACATAGAACAACAGTCGGAATATGCCAGATCTGTTTGTATTGCCCTGAAATAAAATTCACTGCAACTAACTATGATGATAATGTGTAGCTGGTTTTTTTTAATGCTGTTGGACCTTGAAAGGTTAGGGTGCCACATTGGCGTACATGCAATTATTCCCAAATCATATTAACATCATCTTCTATGCCAGCGGTCAGCAACCTGTGGATCTGGAGCCGCATGTGGCTCTTTCATCCCTCTGCTGTGGCTCCTTGTCACCAGTCGATAAAAGGGAAAAGGACGCCATGCTAGGAGGAGACTCTATGGTATGGGAACCAGACTTCCCATTGGGAGAGGAAAAAGGATGCTGTGCTAGGAGGAGACTCTA